TATACACGACTGTTGATAAGGTCTTATATAAACATGGATAGTAAATGAATCTTGCGTTGCGTGGTTTAGTGGCGAATGGGTGTATTATGTGGTGTATTATGTGTGTTACAGATGCGGCAATATGCTTGACGTCTTCAACTCGTGAATTGCAACTTTTAGACTTTATGAACACGAGGGGATGTCGGCTAGATAGTTAGGTCTGGTGCTCGGAGATTCTTAAACTATCACGCTCGTGTTTTGTGTATAGTCAAGGAGGCGTACATTCCATCATTAAATCGCATTCTCACTGCAAATTACTGGAATGAAAATGTAATATATGGCCTACGTCATTCAGGCCCGTTCGTGCAACTTAATTAATCCTGGTCGTCACAGCATTTGCCATCATACGTTTCTGGAATAAAGTCTCGCTATATCATTAAGCCGAAGATAACTCGCAAAATAATCTATGACGAATGCGCTTGTTCATAGATGTTTTGTCAGACTTTGAAAAAATTTATTAACTCAAATGTGAAAAATACGGCGCCTCGGTGGGATTTGAACCCACACAGTAAGGGGAAGGCTTCTTCTTACTGCGTGGGTGCGAATCCCACCGAGGCGACGAGTTTTCGACAGTTAAGTCAATAGCAACAACTCAAAATCTGCCCAAAAATATATGAATTACGTAAGCCTGGTATTCCTTTGGGGGATTATAAGTGAATTACTTAGGAAATCCTGCTTGGGCAGTCAACTTGTGGTGAGGTACCTGACTAATTGACCTTTGACAACTTGGTCCCTTTTTCTTTGACCGCATTGCTTGTTTGAATGTGACGTAAAACGACACACCTGCACAACCCGCCTTGCTAGCGTGCTCTGCTGTGGTATTCTGTTGTCAGTTTTCTTAACGTTCTAAAACCTCTATATTATTCACTGCTCCGATTTACTTGCTGCATTTAAGGCTAGGGGCTAGTGAGATATAACTGGTTAGTTCGTGGGAACATTACAATTTACAACATTGGTGACTCCCGACGTTTACGCAGACTTTATACCTTTCTGTCATACTGGATAACATTTTACGTACTATTTGCTGGCGAATATCTATTCCATTAACATTTATTTTCCTCACGAATTCTGATATTATGTCTCACGCCGATCAACAACTTGATGCCCCCGCCCAGTCCCTTCATGCAATCAATTTTACCTTGCCTGAATTCTGGCAACACGCTCCAGAACTTTACTTCATCCGCATAGAATCAGCCTTTTATTCTGCCAACGTTACCAAGGAGCTATCAAAATACCACAAACTTGTGGAGGTTCTCCCTGCCAATATTATCTCACAAGTTCAACCCTTGCTAGTGAAACCCCCTGCAGACGCTCCCTATTCTGCTCTGAAGGCGGAAATCCTTCGTCTCAATGCTGTATCTGACCGACAACGCTACCACCAGTTGATCAAGGAGGAATCACTGGGCGACCGAAAGCCCTCAGAACTTCTCCGACGAATGCGTGCTCTCTTAGGAGACATGCAGGTCGACGAGAAACTCGTTAAAGAGATGTTTCTAGAGAGGCTGCCTGCAGATGTCCAAACGATTTTGGCATCCGGCTCGCAAGACCTTACACTTTCACATCTTGCTGAAATGGCAGACCGAATGATAGAGGTTCATCGGTTCCAGCCACCTTCCGTTGCTCAGATTTCCACATCCTCTTCAACGGTTAACGAGCAGTTACTGCAACAGATGTCGACTATGGCAAATGAGATAGCCTCCCTAAAACTACAGCTTGCTCGCATTACCTGTAGTCGCTCACCCAGCCGTCATCGTTCACGTTCGCGACCTCGCACAGCCAATTTGTGTTGGTATCACGCAAACTTTGCCGCCAAGGCTCGCAAATGTTCTTCCCCTTGTTCCTTTAAACCGAAACAGGGAAACCAACCAGCCAGAGAATAGACGCGACCGTTTTCTCTGGCTCTCCCAGCTCTGGTCGCACCTTTTATGTCTGCGACAATGTGACTCGCAGGCGCTTCCTGGTGGACACCGGAACCCAGATCAGCGTGGTTCCCCTCACTCCAGTTGACCGCCGCTGTCCCAGCCCTGGTCTACATCTCCCAGCTGCAAACTGTTCCCCAATTTCCACTTTTGGTAGTCGTTCCCTAACGCTGAACATTGGTTTACGTCGATCATTCTCCTGGATATTTGTGATTGCCGATGTGCCTCATGCGATCCTTGGTTCCGACTTCCTAGCCGAGTTTGATCTCCTTGTTGACTGTCGGCGTTCCTGTCTCCTCGACCGCACAACTGGTCTTTCTGTCCGCGGTCTTACACCCTTTAATGACTCCTACAATTTATCTGTTCTGGATACAGGCATTGCTTGCCCATACCGAGACCTGCTCCTCCAACACCCCAACATAATCAAACCCCAGTTTCGCAGTGGTGAGATCCAGCATGACGTTGTCCACCACATTCGCACCTCTGGCCCCCCAGTATTCGCACGGCCTAGACGACTGGCTGCGTCCCGTCTGCAAGCGGCGAAGGCCGAATTTGAGCACATGCTGCAACTGGGCATAATTCGCCCGTCCGAGAGTCCATGGGCGTCCCCTCTGCATATGGTGCCTAAGGCAACATCAGACGACTGGCGGCCCTGTGGTGACTATCGCGCCCTCAACAATGCGACCATCCCGGATCGTTATCTTGTCCCTCATCTTCAAGATTTTGCTGGAGCTCTTTTTGGCAAATCGGTTTTCTCGAAGATTGACCTTGTTCGGGCCTTCCATCAGATTCCTGTCGCTCCTGAGGATGTTCCCAAAACTGCCGATACCACACCATTCGGCCTGTTCGAATTTATTCGCATGCCATTTGGTCTTCGCAATGCTGCCCAAACATTTCAGAGGTTCATTGACCGAGTCCTACGTGGTCTCCCGTTTGTGTACGCTTACATCGATGACCTCATGGTGGCCAGTCGAAATGCCGAGGAACACAAAGAGCATCTTGCTTTAGTGTTTGACCGCCTCGATCAGTTTGGCGTGGTCATTAACCCTTCGAAGTGTGTTCTGGGTGTGCCGTCCCTTGATTTTCTTGGTCACCATGTCGATGCACAAGGTTTGCGTCCCCTCTCTTCCAAGGTTGAGGCCATTCGTGATTTTCCTCCACCAACATCCAAGCGTCAGCTGCAACGTTTCCTTGGCATGGTAAACTTTTACCGCCGGTTCCTACCGAACTGTGCCGACCTTATGCTGCCACTCACCAACTTGCTCTCTAGTCCCAAGGGTCCCCTTGAGTTACGTGGCCACGCGCTGACTGCATTTGAGAGAATAAAGACCTCCCTTGCTGATGCTACCTTGCTCACTCATCCTGCTCCAGAAGCCCCATTGTCCCTGATGGTTGATGCTTCGACCGTTGCCAAAGGAGCAGTCCTCCAACAGCATATCAACAACTCGACACGACCGTTGGCATTCTTCTCCAAGAAGCTTTCACCTGCCGAGACGAGATACAGCACGTTTGGCCGTGAACTTCTTGCCATTTACCTAGCCGTAAAACATTTCCGACACTTCCTGGAGGGTCGTGACTTCACCATTTTCACAGACCACAAACAACTTACATTTGCCATCCGATCCCATTCTGACAAATATAACCCGAGAGAGATTTCTCATTTGGATTATATCTCGCAATTCACCACCGACATCCGCCACATTGATGGCCCGAAGAATGAGGTGGCTGATATGCTGTCCAGACCCTCACTGTCTTCCCTCCAACTCTCACATGGGATCGATCTTTGTGCCATGGCGGCTGAGCAGCAGCGAGTCGGTTGTCCTGGCGACGAGTCTGTTAGTGGTCTTCAACTCAAAGACGTTCCTCTGACCACCGGCTCTGGTACCATACTTTGTGACGTCTCAACTCCCTTTCATCGCCCTTTTTTGCCCGCCTCGATGCGTCGAGCTGTATTTCAAACTCTGCATGGACTCTCCCACCCTGGGATCCGAGCCTCTCAAAAGCTCCTCGCGGAAAGGTTTGTCTGGCCTGGCATGAACAAGGACGTCAAAGCTTGGGCCCGGCCGTGTCTGAGCTGCCAGCGCAACAAGGTGCAGCGTCACAACAAGTCCCCACCAGGCACTTTCCCCAGTCCCGACGCACGGTTCAGCCATGTGCACCTGGATGTCGTAGGCCCCTTGCCTCCATCCAATGGTTTCACCTACCTACTTACCTGTGTCGATCGATATACTCACTGGGCTGAAGCTATTCCTTTGCCGAATGTTCAGGCTGAAACCATCGTGAAGGCCTTCGTCAGTCGTTGGGTTGCCATGTTCGGTGCCCCATCCACGGTTACGACTGATCGTGGTGCCCAGTTTGAGTCGGCACTCTTCCAAACGCTACTCAATTTCCTTGGCTGCACACGCATTCGGACGACAGCCTACCACCCAGCTGCCAACGGTATGGTTGAACGTTTCCATCGCCAGCTAAAGACCGCCCTGCGTGCCGTCGAAGACCCAGGAAACTGGTCGGACAACCTTCCTCTTGCACTCCTCGGCATCCGCGCAGCTCTGAAGTCTGATCTGGGCTGTAGCGCAGCTGAATTGGTTTTCGACACTACCCTCCGACTGCCAGGCGTGATGATCACCCGAACCTCTCGTGGAGCCGACGAGACTCCTGACAATCTTGTGCACCGTTTGCGGCAATTCATGCGCTCGCTTTCCCCGGTTCCACCTCGAACTCCTATGACTGAGTCTTATGTCGAAAAAGACTTGGACAACTGTACTCATGTGTTCGTCCGGTGTGACCGTGTGCGCCAGCCGCTGGAATCACCTTACGAAGGACCGTTCCGTGTGCTCGCGCGCAATGCCAAAACCTTCCGGATTCTTCGCAATGACAAGTAGGACGTGGTCAGTGTCGATCGGGTCAAGGCTGCTGTTGCAGAGGAGCCGCCGGACCGGTCACAAGGACAAACATGTGCCGACCCCCTAACCCCTGTTCCTCCATCTTCCCTATCCCCTACTCGTTCACCCTGCCCACTGCCTTGCCCTTCCCCTCCCTTGCCCTCCACCCCTCCGTCCCGCATACTTCCTCTCCCTACATGTCAACAGCATCCAACTGCAACACCATTGTCCACCGCAGAACGTAGTCAACCCGCTTCGACTGTACCTCCTGCATACATAACTCGCAGCGGCCGTTACGTTCATTTTCCCGATCGTTTAGTTACCCATTTTTTCTAGACTTGTGCATATCCTCCGGCGCCGTATCCCATTGCCCTCCGGTCTAGAAGGGGGTACTGTGGTGAGGTAACTGACTAATTGACCTTTGACAACTTGGTCCCTTTTTCTTTGACCGCATTGCTTGTTTGAATGTGACGTAAAACGACACACCTGCACAACCCGCCTTGCTAGCGTGCTCTGCTGTGGTATTCTGTTGTCAGTTTTCTTAACGTTCTAAAACCTCTATATTATTCACTGCTCCGATTTACTTGCTGCATTTAAGGCTAGGGGCTAGTGAGATATAACTCGTTAGTTCGTGGGAACATTACAATTTACAACAAACTTACTGTATCAGATATGGTGGATTCCAGACGTTGCGGTAGGTTGGACATGTAACTTGACAAATATTTAATTAAATTTGCCTCGTCCCGTGAAATATTCCAGGTATCAAATATCATTCGTCTTAACTGCCTCCAGTTGGAAGATTTAAGTCAAATAAAGGGCTTGTACCTCCATATGACCTAATGGGAATTCCAACCAATTTGAAGAATATGTTACAGGAATACATGTGACTTCGCACCTCGCATTCAGTCATCAGAACTAGTCGTGAGGGGCTATGCATAGGCCTCTTGAAGCGATACATATCCCTGTGACCAGGAATGCAATGGAGTCAGTCAGGTGCTCTCAGTAAAGCTTTTTAACGCTCAATGCGCAAGAGTTTGCCAACAAACCAAGGATGGATCGTCGGCCTCACAACATTCAACCCTTGTGTGGAATTTTCCTACCCAATCTAGAAATGTCCCCCTGCACCGCATTCAACTTTCCCGAACGCTCTTTCTTATCCCTCAACATTAAAATTACAAAAAAATGAATCACTAACTGGCCCCCATTACGGTAATGGTTAATCAGAACATGCATGTCAACCTTAACACCAGTCCGTCAGAAACAAATCTCAGTGCACAAATAATTAATTAGAACGCAGCGGCCAAAGCACCCAGGTAATTATGGGATTGTGTTACTTGCATAGAATCCACTGAACATCAACCATGGTTGGGTTGGAGGCGGAATGCGGGTAAGTGTCCTAATCGGGCTCAGTGTTACTATTAAACAGAGGCTGAAGTTAGAATCAGGTTTACGACCAGGATCAGAATCGAATACTCCAGGCGGATGGGATGATTTTCTTCGCATGGTTGGCATTTGACGGCAAAGTATTACAGTCAGTGACAGTCGGACATTGAATACAACGTCCATCGAAAAGACTGCAGATGACTACACATATCAGACTTCTGGGTGGCAAATATGTATATACAATGGCGGTGCCTATTGAACCGAGACATGTACAGCAATTTTGGCGTTGCCAATTCAGGAAACTGAACAAAATGGTATAAAGGAAACGCAATTTTTGGGGTTAGGCATCTAGTCTACGCGAGCTCTTGCAAATACCTGGCTATTTTTAATAGAACATCCTGGAACATAATGCAGCATTTTGTTACTGCTAATTGCACACAGTTGTGATTCATGTGCTGATTTTTTGTGACTGAAGTGGACTTGCCGGTGCTACTTCCAAGGGCAATACTGTACAACGTTGAGTAGACGCGGACACGTCTACAGTCTCCAAGGAGCGCAAAGTACGCCTACAAATACCGTTTCACCAATCTTCATAATGGCGTTTTGTATAGAATAAGTCAATGATTTCTCATCTGAGGTCGCGTTAAGAAGAAATCTCATACCCGAGGACAATCTGGTTATCCGGTCAGTTGGCAATCTTTGCAACCCCGACAGTACTTGCGAAGTTGGTGTTCTGAGGCGTATGATATGGCTATCATTAAGGAAATATAATGTAGGCCTCTAGCTAAACGGACACAGTCTCTTTCTCCACTTTTTAACATGCATAAGACGGAGACTGCAAAATATTTGAAAACTTATTCCGGG